GTAAAAGAAAAAAATTCTTACCATAAGGTTGGCGCAGACAACAGACAAGCAAATTTTGATTGCCTAATACAAGTCTCGTTTCCATTATGAAAACAAATCTACCGCTTGATTAATAATACATTCTCTGTTGCTAAAATCACATCGTGCAGCGAATTATACGGAGAGGCGGCCTGTAAACATGTCAGGGTACCTGACAGAACGGATATGATGTTGCCATACCCGAAATCCGTAATGAAGCCAGGGTAACATCCCCGATGACCTCTACTGTTTTATAAATGTATTTTGAGAATATATTGACCATATTTACCATGTGTTTTTGAGAACTTTTCAGTAAAGTTCCGCACGGTTTTTGACGTTAATATTTTTCGACGAATGTTTTTTACATTAAAGAATGCTTTCGATTTCAGTATTTTTGATGCGATCAAAAATAGTGATACTCGAATGGTTAAAGGTCATTTATGTAGATATGTAGAATAGAACAGATCAATAATATTGCAAACTCTTTTCTGTGTTATTCTTAATGTATCCAACCTTATCTTACGTTGGAGGTACAGCATCTTTATTAGTCGGTTTCAATCGTTTTGAATCATTTATTGTTTTTAATATGAACAAATTTGGCACAAGGCCAAAGGGGAAGTGGAGCTAGGCTGGTCAACACTTTCTTCCTAGACCTAGCTAATCAAATTCTCGAACGATATATTCATTACAATTTGATCATTCACCACAAGAAATCACCCATCTTTATTCAAACCTACATAAACCACAATGCCACACATTCACAGGAAACCTAGTAAAAGCCACATAACAAATGATTTTCATTCTATCAGATATACGCTCATGAAATGATCGTGGAGGGGATAAACTCAAAAACGAAACTAAAATATAAAAAGAAATATTCAAACTATAATAAGAGACTTAAAACAGAAAATCAAGGCTGGACCCGTTCACTCGAACCAAGCTTCATCTTGTGCTGATGCCCAAAGAATCCAACCAAATTCTGATGAAAATAGGGATCTTATCGCAAAGTTCCATCCATTCCCTACATCTATACCACTATTCCTACCGCGGCTAGCAACGCAAGAAATACCTTTCGTTTCACTCCAGAATATCGGGACGACACATTATTGCATGCATATGAGAGACCGATGTACATGAGATGTTCGACATCGATACGAGTCGTAAACTCGCCGACATAGGCCCAGAACAGGCGCCACTGAGAGTAGGGGTAGAAGAGGTACAAAGCCGTTTCCTCTAGACCAAGGTCACGCCGATGACAGTCGGGCAAATCCGCCTAGCCCGCTCTGAAAATATGCCAATGAGTGATTGCACGGTCCTAATCAATGGCTAGGTAAGCGAAAACTCAGGATTACTGAGGTAATCCGCCGCTGGTGCCCAAGTCCACAAAGAGCCGAGTGGATCCATTCAGACCCCGACCACTAATAACCGATACAAGAGTCTCTTAGGTTGTGAAAGGTCACTGGACCGGGCAATATCCCCACAAGCCGCTCGGCACACTATGGGGAATCTTGACTGATTTCGAGGTTTACGATGGCGCTCAGTCCTGGAAAGGAGGGGAGTGATAATAAGACTAGGGAAAGCGTCCCTACCACCCCACTCCAAGATCGAATACTCTGTCAACGCACGGCATAGGAAAGCCAAGCTCGAGGCGTGTCGATGACTCACCATATGTGGCATTCCCAGCCCCCGTGAGACGAACGCTGGCCACAGACATCGCAGCACACCTGAAGGTTTCCACAAAAGGAAGGAGAAGTGTTTGAGCGCCTTCCTTTTTTCTTGCAGAGAAGGAATACTGGCAACCGTTGCCCAAATGCTCTTCACTATCGAGACAAGGCTCCATGGTAAATCTTCTCTCAAAATGCCACCGAAACACCTCGTATATGTATTTGGTCGAACTCTTATGACCTCCTGGGTATCGACCTCTCGAATGTAACTATCGGAATCTCGACAGAACTATTACTCGCGCAGATCTCAAGCCATGTTCACGTCATCGATAAAAATCTTTTTAACATATATCTCACTTCCTGACCTGATAGCGCTCGCTAGCCGCTAGTGCTCGCACCAGACCTTGCCTAGGAAATGTTGCCTTATTACTGTTGATATTACTTGCATATCTTGATTGTGTGCTTTATATTCTTTAGTCCCTGTTCCTTTCTCTCTTTATTGCAATTCTGTTTGTTGGACAATTCCGTTATTTATGTTTGCATTTGACAGCGCCTACTCACTTCACATTCCTATTGTCGAGCGCGGGGCACTTATTGACCAAACATTTGTCGACATGTTACAGCTGCTGTACGTATAATTGTGCATTTAGTGTTTCATTGCATTTTTCAATCTCTAAATTAATAATTCAGGGATTACCCCCACCCCGCCTCGCACAAATTTAACTTTCTTCCATGAGGGCGGCTATGGAGATTTATCCACAATCAACTGTCTTTTACCTTGAACATTGTTATATGCAACCCATTTTTCATTGTCCATTATTATTTTTTAAGCATTCCCCACCGTAAGCAAGACGGGACTGCTACTAACACACAAGGGATTACAAAGAGGCGTGATAGAGGAAAAGATTAACAGAATGAGAATTAGATCAAAGCATATGAAGATATCGATTGACATTACATTTGAAGATTATAGCTATCAGGGAAGCAAGTAAGAGGCATGCAGAGTAGAAGAGACGGTTCCATTTAACATTTCCTTCAGTGAAAAGGTGGGACTGAGATACCAACCTAGTAGCACGTTTAAATTCATGCAATTTGAGAACCAGCGAAATTAGCTCGTCGGAGCAGTTACCGTGAAAATATTTGTAGAAATAACAGAGGAAAGCGACTGCACGTCTGTGAGAAATTATGATATATTTTTAAGAAAAGGTTTGTTCGGATGTTACAGTCCTCATTTCAAATGGTTTCCAAAGCAAGAATTTCGTATGACCCTACCTAATACATTTATCTTGACTTTATTTCAAGAGATATTGAAATTTTACTGTGCTTACTCGATAAAGAAACATTACTTTCCACATATTCTTTACATCGGTTTCACCCCAAGCACGGCAGTAAAACCAGGAAGATGCAAAGTGTTACAGGGTGTGGAAGAATTAGGAATAGAAACATTGATAATGAGCGGGAAAAGAAAAGTGTAATCAGTAGGATAGTAGATAGCGATTGACATGGCAATTAAATTTTCAGCAGATTAAACTTGGCTGGAAAGCATAGAAACGGAAGGGAGTTCCACAAGCCAGAAGTACGAGAAAAGAAACTGTTAGGATAGAACCTAAATCTACATCTAATCAGCTCAACTGTAAATTGATGAGATCACGAAACCAGCCTCGTATTGCGTTTAAATTAAGTCGTGGTAAAACATACTGAGTATTACATCCGACGAATTATTCTTATATATATATATATATATATATATATATATATATATATATATATATATATATATATATATTTGCTCTTTACTTAATATTTATGTCTTCATTGTCTTTACTATTAAGTCTGTTTCCTCGTTGTTGTTTTTTTGTTTTCTTTTGTTTTGTTTTTTTGTTTTATCAACGAGAGGTGGAAATGCTATTTTGTCCTAGTTTCTAGTTTAACTTTTCTTTCCATTCTATTTATTAATTAATTTCTTTGTTATTGTTTTTATTTTCATATTACGTGCGACATTTTTTTGTTTTGGTAAGACTGGTTTATTTTATTTTCGTCTTACGTCGTCCATTTTTTGAAGTGGAAAGACTTGTTAAATTTTTCCACGAGTCTCTTTTAATTTTTCTTTTGTAGGATTTTGTTTACATAATTTGTCTTATTTTGTTTTTCTTATTTACGTCGTTTTATTTAATTTTGCCTAATTGTTATTTGAGTGATTTTTTTTTTCTGTTTAGTTTACAAATCGAAAATTTTTTGTCTGCCTTTTTTGTTATTGTTTCTACATCGTTAAATTTATTATTTTCCTATTTACATTGCTCGGACTATCATCCTCATCTTTGTTGCCATATTTATCACAACAAAGATAAGGATAATAGTCCGGGCAATGTAAACAGTTTACATAATACCTCATCTCAGAAATATAGACACATATTATTTTCCTGTTTTTTTAGTACGTGTAAATGTTATGGGATCTTACCCATAATAATAATAATGGACTATTCCATACTTAATAAATACTGCGCCTCAGCAGTAGTTCAAGTCGAGTCAGTAGTTCAAGTCGAGTCAAGAGTTGAGTCAGAGGCAGTCCGAAACAGAGTCGCCTTCAGACAATTACTACAAGACATTGGAATAGTGATACTGGTCGAGACTACATTGTTCTCTCTACTAAACTTGATTGTTCATACTAACACTTCTACATCTCTGTATATATTCCTGTTTGTAACATATCTGTGTTATTCCATACCTGTGTTCGCGTTCATCTTTATTGGTTCTACCTTGGAGCGTCACCTGGGGTACAAGGAACCGGACCATAACAGTAAATTTTTAAGTTAACGTACCTTTTCACGTCTAACTTTTTAAACTGGTTTGCGTCAGTCTTTCGTTTCTATTTTGCGTTTGTCTCGTTAAATTTGTCTTTTATTTTCTCGTATTTTTATATTTCTTTATTTTTTTGCTGTTTAGAAAGTATTTATAGAAAAGGCACACAGATGTAAAATTACGGCGGTCAGAATATGACTGAAGTCGAGCTGCCAGATCAGGACCCAAAAAATTTCTGATTCTTCTCTGGATTTTATCAAGGACCTAAATATCAGGGGCACCGGATCATATGTGATAGCAATATTCTAAGCATAGACGAATATTAAAAAAATGTTTTAAAATGGTGCTAATACTATATGATATTTATACGTCTCCTATTTCCATGTCATAGTCAAATAACGCTGAGAATCCCGGTTCTAGTTCGATCACTGAAGTTAAACAGCGTCGAACCCAGTCAGTACTTAGATGGGGAAGCATTTTAACACTGGTTACTGTAAGCAATTTCCTACTCTTCGCGGCTTACGGCCACATCAGTATGAAACACCGGTCCTGATGCGACCACCAATGTTAAGCAACGTCGAGTTTGGTCAGTATCTAGATGCGTGACCACTTGGAAATATCAGGTGGTGTAAGCTTGGATATTCAAGTAAAATGAATAACGGCTCTGAGCTGGAGATTGTAGAACCAAGTTCGAATTCCGGTCGAGTTTGTAATATTCATGTACACGCAAATTCCCTTGGATGAAAAGACACAGAGGGACAACCTTACGGCGATGGGAAACTGACTGGAAGACGAGTCGCCAGATCAGGACTGATAATATTGCTGATTCTTCTTTGGATTTTATCAAGAAGCTCAAGGTAAATAACAGAAGCACAGGACCATATATAGTAGCAAAATTCTAATCATGAACGAATTGTTCTCCCCAGAATGTATATTACATATCTATATATATGATAGATTCTGTAGAGAAAAATGGTCTGGCACGAGACAATGAACCACCTTTCTTAGCTGACAAAGCAATCGATAATTATGTAATCTGTGTCGTGACAGAGCGCTTCATGCCAATGACAATCGATACATCTGAAACCGAATTAAAATAAATTTGATTTAAGGACTAATTGATTGATTAGTGTTTTTTACGGCTTACCATCCATTTTCAGGTTATCCAGTAAATATTTTAGATTATAAAAATTTTTTGTAGATAATAAAGATTTTCTGTTGTAAGTTGTAAGTAGCTGGGAATGGCTCCTGAATATCCGTAAGGTTCCAAATATATTTTATTAAAAAAAGGCTCTTATTAGGTTATTAATAAGTCATTGTTATATTTTCAAATCAAATCAGTTTTGTTTGGCATGTTAGCATGTTTCTGAATGAAAATACTACCGCTACCATGTAACTTAGTACTACCATTTGGCTTGGATAGGGGTCTCTCTCTCTCTCTCTCTCTCTCTCTCTCTCTCTCTCTCTCTCTCTCTCTCTCATTTCCGCGCATGCGTATTTCGATTATACAGCCATCTAGATTGGAAATGGGTATGATTAATCAGCTTCTCGAACAAAGAAACCCCTGTTAGAAAAACCAGATGGCCAACCATAAAGTGTTTTTCGATTTGGGCCTGGATTTCTAATTTCCAATATTTTCTTTGAGATCAACTGTTTGTCTATTGCAGCTTTTATAAAATGTTGTCTTTCTAATCGGATATTTCCACAAGCCCCAGTTGGGTTTGTTACAATCACTTACACGTAAATATCCTCGGAAAAGGTACGAATCCAGCTCCTCTCCCCCAGATATGTGTTAATTCTTCTGCCGTGTCCTTTCAGGACGTATGCGACCATTCCATATTTTTTTGTAGTTCTTAATAAAGATTTCTTCTTTTTATTTATCCTAAAAACTGTTCCGCCATCCATTTATTCAACCCCACCGAGAATGTTATGCATTGCTTTCCTCCATCTCTCTTGGTTTCAATCTGTCCTGTGAGTATCAAATTTTCCAAGCCCTTCCTCCTCATTAAGTGCACGCCACCCCCCTTCCCGATGTTAAGTATAAATCTCCTTTTTGTTTCCATTTTTACTTTTTTACGTTTTTCCATGTTCGTACTTAGAAGTATTTGATGAGTTGAAATGAATATTTTGGAATTGGCTTTTCTTTTTATTCAAAGTCCAATCAAAGAAGAAGAGGAAAAAAATGAAGAACAACAAAGAGAAGAAAAAAGTAGAAGAAAGAAAGGATCAAAATAGGAGAAAAAAGAAGTAAAAGAGGAAAAAAGAATAGAAAAACGAAGAAGAAGAAAGAAGAAAAAGAAAACGAAGGAGAAAAAAGAAGCAGAAGAAAAAGAAGGAGGAGAAAAAGAAGAGAAAAACGAAGAAGAAGAAGAAGAAAAAGAAAACGAAGGAGAAAAAGAAGAAAAAGAAAACGAAGGAGAAAAAAGTAGCAGAAGAAGAAGAAGGAGAAAAAAGAAGAGAAAAACGAAGAAGAAGAAAGAAGAAAAAGAAAACGAAGGAGAAAAAAGAAGAAGAAGAAGAAGAAGAAGAAGAAGAAGAAGAAGAAGGAAAAAAGAAGAGAAAAACGAAGAAGAAGAAAGAAGAAAAAGAAAACTAAGGAGAAAAAAGAAGAAGAAGAAAAAGAAGAAGAAGAAGAAGAGAAAAACGAAGAAGAAGAAAAAGAAAACGAAGGAGAAAAAAGAAGAAAAAGAAAACTAAGGAGAAAAAAGTAGAAGAAGAAGAAGGAGAAAAAAGAAGAGAAAAACGAAGAAGAAGAAAAAGAAAACGAAGGAGAAAAAAGAAGAAGAAGAAGAAGGAGAAAAAAGAAGCAGGAGAAAAGAAGAAGGAGAAAAAAGAAGAGAAAAACGAAAAAGAAGAAAGAAGAAAAAGAAAACGAAGGAGAAAAAAGAAGCAGAAGAAGAAGAAGGATAAAAAAGAAGAGAAAAACGAAGAAGAAGAAAGAAGAAAAAGAAAGCGAAGGAGAAAAAAGAAGAAGAAGAAGAAGAAGAAGGAGAAAAAAGAAGAGAAAAACGAAGAAAAAGAAGAAGAAGAAGGAGAAAAAAGAAGAGAAAAACGAAGAAGAAAGAAGAAAAAGAAAACGAAGGAGAAAAAAAGAAGCAGAAGAAGAAAAAAGCAGAAGAAAGAATAAGAAGAAGAAGAAAGGCGAAGAAAGAAGACGAAAGTAAGAAAGAGAATAAAGAAAGAAGAAGAAACCAAAAGAAGCAAGAAAGAGAATGAAGAAGAAAGAAAAAGAAGAAATTTATGGTTATATCAATTCAATTACAATGTAGTTGTATAATACAATCTTAATTAACCATAACGTAATTATAAATATTTCTATTTATGTCATATATTATAGGCTGAAATTCACATGGTGTATTTGCCATATAATTATAAACGGATTCTGAACCTTTTTTTGAATATCAGCTCAAAAACCGCAAATTTATTGACAAAATATTGACTCGCATTATAAACTTGGACATTGTCTAACGACGTCTTTTTAATTATCACGCACACGAATGCATACACCAACATCTATTGGCAAAATCGTTATTTGATATGTATGTCTAGGTACGTTACATTTCCTCACATCAAATGCGATACCAAAATGCTTCTTCTGTCGAATGAATTTTTCTCACAATCAGATAATATATATATATATATATATATATATATATATATATATATATATATATATATATATATATATATTCTTGAAATTATTTGTATTTTAGAAGTTATTAAACTTGCTATTGAATTAAAACGAGTTTCTAGTTTATATTTTTAATTTGATATTTAATTTTATTTTTAAGTACCTTACATTTGTAGCAGATGTACTGAACGATGCTCATCCATAATTCTAGTAGGCTTATGGCCACATCACGTTGAAACATGGGTTCTCGTACGTTCACCGAAGTTAAGCAACGTCGAACCTGGTCAGTACCTAGATGGATAACAGGTGATGTAAACGCGGGTGGTGTAATGGATAATGACTCCACAGAGCGAGCTACCGTTAAGTCCGGTACGCCTTAACCAACTTAGCCAGGAAGATAATAATATTTATTTAATAAATACTCGATATATTTAATAATACTTGAAGCGCCTACTTAATTACGAGTATGAACTAAAAATAACGTTTAAAGTGACAAAAATATTTCAAGTTAATAAAAAATCCATTCTAAAATTCTCTTTGTTTATGTTTGGATACGAAAAACTTTGAGAGATTCTATGACGGACGAAATTTCACTTAGAGATATAAAATTTGATCTCGGCTGCTCTTCGTGGTTAAATTGCATAAAGCCTGTCGGGGGGTAACGTAACTTCTTTTGCCATGAGGGACGCAGGTTCAAATCCTGCCAGAGAACGTAATTGTTTTCTTTAATAAAATATTCAGCCCGGTAGACGAAAATAAATAAATATACTGTTTAATAAATAAACTGGTCATCTACTTAAATACGAGTACCCACTAAAGAAGTTAAATTAATAAAAAAAAAATCTTTTGGATTCATAAAAATATCAATTCTAGAATTCTCTGGAATATAAATGTATGGAAGCTATAGTGACCACAAAGTGAGGGATCAGATTATATATTGATTGTAATATATATTGACCACCCCCTGCTTTATATACACATAATGTTACTTGTTTATCAAAGTACCTTTAGGAAGGAATACACCATAACTTCCCCCATCTATGCGTTAATTAGTAAGATTGTATCACTTCAAAATCGTCGACAGTAGATTACGGCAACTCCAAATCACGGACGATTTCATTTATTTTATTTCCTCTTTTGTGCTTTTTGTGTCAGGATCAACGGCCTGTCTTTCCTTCTTGGCAGGATGACATTTAGACAAAGTCACTTTCCTGTTGCTAGGCATCTTGGGAATATTTACAGAAAAATTTCAAAGACACAAACGAACTCGGTGGAAAGTGTGTTGTACCGAGGCTGCCCTGCCTTTGTACTTGAGACGCGCGATAGCTTACGGCCATATCACGACGAAATACCGGATCACCGAAGTTAAGTAATGTCACTACGTAGATGTCTGATGGCTTTGTAATACCAGCAGATGTAAGCTTCGGTGTGTTGGTGGTCAAGTGGATAATGGCTCGGAATTGTTAATCGAAAACCCGAGTTCCAATTTTAGTTGGGTTCATTAGATTCACTTACATTCAAATATCTTTGAGAAAAGATATGAATCCACTTATTCTCCCAGTTATGGGTTAATTATTAAAAGTTGTCTCACTAAATCATTATCACCAAATAACCTGCAAATTGATGATAACCCATAAAAAACGAATCAATCATTCAATGAAATACTGATAAGCTACACAGACATGTCTTTTAGATTTATTTACATTCTCTGGAATACAAAATGTATTGAAACTACTGTGGCCACAAAATGAGGTGTCAGATTATATATCTATTGTAATATAGAACCGATCCCCCACTTTATATCCACATTATAATTTCTTGTTTGTTGATAAGCCATAGAAAACGAATCAATCAATCAATGAAATACTGATTAGCTACACAGGCATGTCTTTTAGATTTATTTACATTCTCTGGAATAGAAATATAGTGAAACTACTGTGGTCACAAAGTGAGGGGTCAGATTATATATTGATTGTAATATACAATTGATCCCCCACTTTAT